GGCACAGGACAGAGCGGAGTTTAGGGCTGTTGTACATAGGGTCGCTATGAGTCGCAGGCGAATCGATGGCACATAACAACAACAACAACATGATAACAGAAGAAGAATTTATATAACAATATTTTTGAACTATAGTTTTGGAGAAGAGTATTGACAAGACCATGGACTGCCAAAAAGATAAACAAATATGTCTTGGAGAAAGTGCAGCCAGAGTGTTCCTTAGAGGCAAAGATGACAAAGCTTGCATATTTTGGGCATGTTGTTAGATGAGGACATTTCTTGGATAGAGGCAACATGATTAGAAAGGTGGAGGGTCAATGAAAGAGAGGAAGATCTTCAACCAGATGAATTTACCTGGTGACTGCAACAGTGGGCTCAAATATGTCAGAGGTGTTGAGAATGGCATAGGATAGTACTGGGTTCAGTTTTGTTGTTCGTAGGGTTGCTATTGAGTCTTACTTGATTTGATGGCACCAAAAAACAACAATAAGGAGAGACAAAGAAAAACTGGGGGAAATGTGACATGATAAAATTTCAGAAAGAATTTGAATTCTGAGGAAATATGCTGTCAAGGATCTCTCTAAACTTCTGAAGAGCAATGATGTCATTTTAAAGAACAAGCTGTGACTGATCTAAGTCATGATATTTACAATTGCTTTCCATGCATCTCAAAGTTGAGAAATGAATAAGGATGGCATAAGAAGAATCAATGCCTTTCAACTGTGGTATTTGAGAAGAGTACTGAATATCTTATAGATCGCAAACAAGTCTGTCTTGGAGGAAGTGAAACCCAGTGCTCCTTAGGAGCAAGAATGGTGAAACTTCATGTCACATACATTTATACCTAAACCACTACAAGCAATATATAGTGACATAGAAAAAATATACACATATTGCATATTCAATGTACATTGATCTATGATAGAAGCTATCTATTCATATGTATCCGTAACAAGTAGCTCTAGTACATCAGTGTTTGCTGCAATCCTTCTTTCCTATATTTTGATGTAGTTACAGTTTGATATTCCAAGAGAATCATAAAAAATTGTAAATCACATTAATCAAGAAGTTCCAATTTTCTTAAGAAAAAGTAATTTAAATGTGTTACTTTTGTAATCATATACCTTTTGTAAACATGTGAAAGTTAAGTCTGACAAAAGTTTTACAAGAAGAATTTAATTCAGTAGACATTGAAATATCCTTTGATCCTCATTATAAAGATCATTTACCAAAGACCTCAAAACAATCAAATAGTCAAGACTGATCAAAGATAAAACTATCAACAAGTTTTTACTAAGTAGTCTAGGGGTGGGGGGACTGTATAACAATTAAGAAACATTTTTTCCAAAGAAAAAAGTGAACTGGGAGGGAGGAGGCACAGGGAGGAATCCAAGTTCTTTATAAAGTTTCGTTAAAATCTAAAAAAAATAAATTCATTATTAGACAATATAGGAAATTTACACACTAACCCTAAACATGGATTCATATTGATAATACTTTCCATCACTTTTAGCATAAAGACAGAGATTTGTCCTCAAACTTTCCATAGATTCGTATTTATCATTTATACATACTTGAGAATGTATGTGACTGGTTAATACTAATCAATTATATCATTGCAAATGCCTGTGCAACTAATTTCAGTACACTTGTTATGTTGGGAAGGGATCATATACATTAACATTTTCATTTAAAACCTCAATTTGAAAAACTATTCAGAGATTACTACACAAACTATGACTCAAAAAAGATGTTTCAGTAAAATTTTTAAGAAACTACATTAAATGGCTAATTGTAAATTTTCTTATTCCAATTCTTTACTTTCCCTCATTACTGATTAGCACTTAAAAGTAAATGTTACATTTTAAATAACATGTAGTAAGAAAAAGGAAACTTTTAATATGTCAAAACTCAGCTTAAAACATGGTTTTATTATACATAGTCTAGTCAGAATTGGCTCATAACTGAATTTACAGTGGGTTTCCTGAGGCTATAAATTACAAAACAGGAGATTACCCATCTTTCTCCTATGGGGCCGCCATTAGATTCAAACTTCTTGCCCAAGGGCAACTACTTACCCCTAAACAACCAAAACTCTTGCACTTACAATTTACAATAGATATTATAAAGCATAGGAGTAAATGGATTGCATTAATGGAAAAAAAATAAATGGTGAAATAGATGATAAATTATCCTTTCTCTCATGCACTGCATGTATCTCTTAAATTTATAATTAGAATTTCTGATATATGTAACCTTCCTGCATTTTATTTTCCTCAAATAAGAAATGAAAATTAGTAATACTACTTACTTCATAAAAAGATATAGTGAGTTCTGGTCCTTAGGGTTTTATGATAGTAACACAGAGGTCACATCTCTCAGAAACTTCGGTTCATAGTAGTTTTATGAGAGAAAAGTAGAAATCTCTTCCCATGTGGTTTGCAGCCCAGAAACCTAAAAGAAGGTCAGCTACTAGTAAATTTTAACTGAACAGCAATGAGTGAGTGGGTGATCCATAAAGGCAGGTGTTCTTAAAATTAAGTTGTGTGTGATCTGAGCTTAAA